ATATCAGCTTCGTTTTCCCAGTAATGGAGAAGAGACAATGGGAATCAATATCAACAAAAATAACCAAGTAGTACTTGCTGATACATATGTATTAATAAATATATATATATATATATATATTATATAGTATAACTAATACATATACATATTACAACAAAAATAATTATAACTAACACATACACATATAATGTATCTATTAAAAATAATATGTATATATATATATTAGTTATACATGTAACATATATATATAACTAATATCCATATTAAAATAAAAGTAATTATAACTAATATATATACAATATATTAAAAAAATAATATGTATATATATATTATTTATAATTATATTATAAATAATATATATATATATATATATATGTTTTATTAGTTATAAATAATTTTATATTTAATATATATTTAATATATATATATGTGAATTTTTATATATATAAATTAATTTAAATAAATTATGTTATTTATTTTTATTTAAAATGATGATGTGTCATAATGTGTACATAACTTGGAAGCCAAGTCATTGTCACACCATTTTTATTTGAGTTGGCAAACGCCGGGAGTTTTCGGTGAATTATTAACAAGTTTGGGGTTTTTTTGGTTAATCATATTAAGTATAGAGTTTAATTGATAAACAAAAAAGTATATGATTTTTTCATTGAACTGGTAAGAGTACAATGTTTTTATGGCGATTTCCCCTATAAAAAAACACTCCGCGATTATAGAAATAAACTGGGTATATCAAATTTTTTTTTTAAAAAAAAAGATTTGGGGATGGAGGCCCATCACACCAAAAAGGCAAAAATTAAGAGAAAAGATATTTAGGAGAGAGGGAATGATGGTGAAGTTCCCTCTTCAACAACGCTGTTCTTCTTCGCTTATATGAATATCTCTTGGTTCTGCAAGTTCGTCCATTTCTCCAGCATTCTGAGCCGACAACAATTATAACAAAACACACTTAAACTCGGTTGTCACAGAATGACAAGAGGAAAGAACCAGAACAGATCATTCCTTCTTTCTCCCGATCACACAGTTTTCCGCTAAAAAATCTTTTTCTATCTTCGAGCAGCAGCCATGGATGCTCCGGCGACTCTGCTGCAATTTCACATCACACAGACAGGTTCACAAAGCTTGGTATAAGTTCGTCCAAACCAAACCTATACGACCGCCATTACCTTCTTCCTCCCTGATGCTTCCCAATTGAATCAAAGTGTCTGCCCTCGGAATCCCGAGGCTTTGTCAAGATCTTTATGTTCCCAAGGCTCTCGTGTACGCCTCCGTCTGGAGCAGAGGCAGCTTCCCTCTGGACAGTTTTCTCGGCCTTCTTGAACCCGTGAGACTGAGCCATGGGGGTCACGGCCACCACATTCATCGAGCACAGCTGCTGCTGCTGCGACTTTGGCCGCTGCTGCTGAAGCCGCCACCATCTTGTGCGCTCCTTCTCGCAGTTGGATATACTCACCCTCAATCACAAATAACTGAAACCCGCACAAATATAATATTTGTAACGTACGAATGAGACTACATACATAGATTGTTTTCTTATAGAGAATTTACATTTTTAAAAAGGAGCATGGCACGGCATACCTCAGGATGGCTGGCAACAAAAACGTCCAACTTTCCATACTTTTTCTTGTAATCATGCCAATGCAGAGGTGCAAGCATTTTGCCCAAGCGGTTTGGGAGCTGAAGCATAAATAATTTCGCCAGATTAAAAGACCCTCCTTGTTCATGTTGGTTAGGATTTTGTTTGGTGTTTTGGGAGTTGACTAACCGTTGAGCCAATTCGGATTCTACCGCCAGCTGGCATTGTACGAACTATGCAAGTCAACAGTGACCGTTCATCAAGAAGAAGAGCACCATCTGCGATCATAGCTTCGGGTGTGATGGAACCAGTGCCGTCACTTACCACCGTTCCAGTTGGAGATTCAGTAATGGCAGAACCATTTTGCCCATCAGGTGAAAGCTGGCCATTAGGCTCCTGGTGATATATCAAATGAAAGACAAGCCAGCCTGATTAGGCCCGAGTGGGTTAAGGGGAAAAAACCGCAGAAAAATGAACATACCTCGGTTTTGTGATTTGGGGCATGAGAATCTAGCCTTAGGGCATCATGAAACTGAGCAGAGATGTTTTGAAAGTTGTTCTGGGATCCGCCAGATGCAAGATATTCTCCACTGCCAGAATCCACTGCCTGACGAGGAAGAGAAGGGTGACGAAGAAACCAGGTTTCGGAATGCCTCCAAGCAAAATAAAAAATAAAAAAACCTGTGCTTTCATGGAGGATGCTGGCACAGTTGATCCAGGTCGAGCTCCCGGGCTGCTTTGAACACTCAGATACACTTGACCAAGTGACTGCCCATTGCCAGACATCTGATATTCAGACATTTCATCAGATCTTACCAAGCCAGGATCACCTTGAGATGGTGGTTCATGATTCTGCACCGGTATCGGTGAACCCTCTGGTACAGCCTGATAAAACAGCATGAATCAAACAGTGGTCAATAACTGTGCAAGACCGAGAACAGAAGATGCCTTCTTAAGCTCACACCTTATGCTGCTGCCACTGGTGCATGGAAGAAACTGGCAATGCTGATTGGGGAAGATGAGATGGGGGGCCCTGATGCTGAATTGGCTGAGGGACCCCTTGTTGATGCATGATATAAGAATGCATCCCAAGAATAGAGGATGGAACCACCGGCATCCCAGCAGCAGCTCGGTTCTGAAAACAATCAGCACATTAGAAAAGGCAAAGCTACAGTCACGAAAATTTCTGTTTAAAGGTATTTCATAACCATTCCTTTCAGCGCCAAGAGCGCAAAAGCAAACAAGAACACACATTCAAATCTAAAAAGCATGGGATTTCTACAAAAGACTCTTTTGATTTCCACCACCACAACATTGGCTGCTGATTAAGTTCGATTTATTCCACTTTCTGAGAACAATTATAGCAACAATTGCCAAACAAAATGTGAACAGTGTGCCCAAAAGCCATCTCAATAAGAGTACGCAACCATCTTGCTCTGTAGATGGAATAACCCAATCTGAGAGTTACATATATCAAACAATCTGTGACGAAAATAGGTACCTGAGTAGCTGTGTCATCACTAGAAGTAAAAGGTTGAATATTGTCTGAACTTTTTCCATTTGAATGGACATCATTGTTAGCGCTAGCTGGACCACTTCTGTTTGCCTCAAGCTGGTTGACACTATTCAGGACAATCTGGGACGTGCTGTTGGAATTTGTTCTGGATATACGAGATTCATCCGTGAAAGACCCACCATTTCCCCTCGCATTGGCAAGCTCAATCTGGAACTGTTGCACTGCATGCAAATGCAGTCTCTCCATCTCTGCAAACTGAACTCAACAACAAGAAAAAAGATCGAAAAGGGATTACAATCATTTTCAGCACAAAGACATTAAAATATGAAAAGCCATCTAGAGAACTAACCTGTCTCTGACAACCAATCCATAGCTGGTTATACTGCTCCGTGCGTTCCCGCAGTTCAGCCTGCAACGAGTGATTTGTAGATGATTGCAAAGAATCCATCTCTTGAACTCGGGTAACCCAGGCTTGAGCTTCTCTTAGTTGCTCGTCCTTGTAAAGGATGGTTTCTTGAGCAATCCTATTCTACAAGCCATCAAGAACAATGAATAATATTTAGTCTATTGAACTTTTTTTAAGTGAATGCTATAAGCCATTTCAGAAAAGGAATCTAAATTCATTAAGATAGTTCAACAGATCTAATCATGTTGGGAGAACTTCTAAAGAAAAAAGAGACAAGACCTGTTCCTGCAATTCAATGAGCTGTCTCTCTTTCTCCTGAGTATGCTCCTGAAGTTCACATATTTGCTGTATATGTTGGGCTCTTTCAGCATCAGAGTGATCACGCTCCCTTCTGCATGTAAAAAAGATAGAGAACGATTCAATTATGAATCCACTGAGCAAGTTTCATTAATCTAACAAAACCCATCAGAATGTATAGCCCATGTATTGATTGATAAATTAAACATCACCTGAATGTTGTGAGTTCTTTGTTTTGTTCTCGGAGGAGATCTTCTTTGGCCCATGCCTGCAGGCACGGTATACGAGAGTCTAAGGCACAAGATCATTGAGAGTTCTGGTCGAAGAAGGCCAAAACATAAATGAAAACCAACAGACCGCCTCATTATCCAGTGTAATCGCATGTAGCTCCCTGTCTTTGTCATCAATCTTCCTCTCCAGCTCTCGGATAGTTCTCTCCTTCTCATGAAGTTGCTCCTAAAGTTTGAACATATTTGTTTAACATCCAATCAAACATGTAAATGCTTGAATGAAACAGAAAGCTCTCAAAAAAAAAACAAGCAGGCTGCTAGATTTCAACACGGATCACAAGAGTGAGCACGAAACCAACCTGTAGTTTGGAAGCAGCATTAGCATGCTCTTTGATTTGAGTATCAAAGTTGTTCTGCATTTCAATGATCTCAGATCTTGCAATAATCTGAGCTCGAAGCTCGATCTCCAGCTGCTGCAGTTCTTCTTTCTGTCTAGCAATGCTATGAAGTCGCTGCTGCAAAATGTCACTATCGGAACCATCATCCACAGTGATGGAGCAGAAATCCACATCAACCGGCTCCCTTCCATGCTGCACAATAAAAATTTCTATGCTTTTTTCTTTCTGGTGATTCACAAACCGGCATCGCTGCAAGACAAAGGTGATTTACCTCGTATATGGTTCTCTCAGCTGAACAGTCCAGCTTTAACTGTTCCAAATCCTGAAACCCATGCGTTCCCATTTTATGAGAAGAAAGTGATGAGAAAAGAACAGAAATTGCTGGAAAAAGAAGCCAAGCATTAGTTTTTCAATCGATTTAGACAATAGGAAAACAAACCCATTTGCTCTAATAAGAAGGAAGCATCCCCAAAGAACACCACCAAGCAAGTCCAAAATCATGCTAAAAATAATCACAAGCATAAGCAAAAGATCAACCGCACACAGATCAGACAATAGCAGGGTTTCCTTTCCATCAATCATCCGAAATGTCAGCATCCAACTGAGCAGCGATATTAAAAACCGACAGACACGACCCCAGGTCGAACCACAGGAAAACAAATAGAACAGTACGAGACAATAAAAAGTCAAGATTCAGCTCACCGGTTTCTACCATTTCACTGATTTCTAAGACAAAATATACAAAACCCAGTACCGTAGACGTCTCCAAAAGCATATTACCACGTCGTCCGGGGAATTTCCACCCGAATGGGGATCCGAAACGGCACGCCATTCTTTCCGGGACGATGATGGCGAAGGGATCCGCATAGAGCCGCCACGAGTAGCGGCTACGCCTGCGGCGGTCTCCATTACAACGAAACCCACCGAAGCGGCTCCAAGTCGTACACCTCCGATCAAACTGAAGTCTAGGGCTTGTCGTGGAGCAGGGAAGAGACCGTGGAATTGCAATATGGGATGCAGAGCCCAAAAATCCTAAGGCAAACTCGGAGTGAGAGATGATGAAACCCCGATTAACGAAGAAATAGACTGAATGAGTTTATGGAGTGACAATGGAGGAAATGTTGACGCGAAGGAGACGGTGGGGAGAGAGAGAGACAACGACGGGAACAATGATTGGGGTACGGAATACGACGGAGCGGTAGATCATCCCGCCTTCGCTGGTCAGTTTGGAGGCTTAATGGGCCTCGGTTCGGCCCATTTAGGATCAGACTTGTAGGCTCATGTAGTGTATAATATTTGCCTCTGTTATAAAAATTGCTTTTTTAATGTATACCAAACTTTGGAATGGGAGGAAGAAAGAAATGAATTTAAAATATCTCTGATGAATTGAAAAACCTATGAGTTGTTCTTGTTACGATTAAATGAATAATCATTCTTTTTTTTAATAATAATGATGCTAAAAATGTTCAATCAAGCATGCCAATGGTATATGACATATTTAAGACGAATTTACTTGTAGAATTAATTACTTGATCATATAAAGTAGGGTAGCTATGGTTCTTCGGAACCGAACCGAAAATCCGGTATTTTTTTTTCGAACCGAGCCATTTAAAATTCTCAAACGATATTTATTTTAGAAAATCAAATTTTTAGAACCGGAAGCTAACCGAACCGAATTTTTAAAAAACTCGAAAAATCGAATTTTTTTAAGAAGATCTAAATTTTTTAAAATAAAAACCAGAACTAAACCGAACCGAATATAATATAATAATCGATTGGTATATTTTATAAAACTGCAAAAATTGAATCGAACCGAATACCAAATCGTCATATAAGGTAGACGGGCTAATGGCATTTTATAAGGATAACGGTTGACGTTTACTAAATATAACAAAGGTTAGGTGTTATGATTTCGGTCAAATCGAATTGAATAATTGTATCCAAAACGAATTTAATCTGAAAAATGAATTTAATCTAAAAAATTGATCGGTTAATTAAATATAAAAACAATAATGTAATGTATTTAAAAATTATATTTTCCTAATGATTTGAATATTAAAAATATATATATATATATATATAAATCGGAAATTAATAGAATATATTTTTTCATAACTATAAAATACGAATCCCAATACAATCCAACTAAAATACAACGACAGATTAAAGAAGGTTAAGATAGCAAAATCATGACTCAATACTGGGTCGTTTCCATGTTAGTTTGCAACTGCATTTTCTAGTTGATTTCGGGTTAGTGGGGATAATATATAAATAAATAAATAAATAAAAAGATGCGTGTGTAGGTGAACAAAGCCCATCAGTCACTTTCTATTTCAATTAGCGCACGTTTGATGAGTAAAATAAAAATCATATATATAAAAGTACAGTTAAGTTAATAAGGGATTGACACGTGTATCATGTTAGAATATAAAAGGTTTCTTAAATAATTCAATATACTCATAAATTATATACGCATTAATACAATGTATCTTTCTACTCCACATTTTTGGTCAAATAGGTAATCAATTCATAATTAAATCTAAGAGAAAAATCGTTTGATTTTGTACATTAACCCCAAAATCCAAGAGTCATGTACACGTTTTAATAAATACATACATTCGTTTACAGAAGAAATGTTTAGTATATAATAACTAGATTTCATATTCTTCACATACAATCGTGACCTCTTTCTCAAATTTACATCTTCAACCCCATTATTCTGAAATTCAAAGAGAATAAAACAATAAAAATCAAGAATCAAATCCAAAGCGTGTTTCCTCTAAAAAAACACAAGAGTTTTTCCCACATTAAACGAAAAGAACGAAGCATACGTTTATTCTGTTTCATCTTCTGCTTTCCTAACTCATGTAAGCTCTTCTTACTCAAATACGGTATGGATTTTTCGAATTTCTTTGATCTGCTGTTTTGTCTTACTAGATTTAGCCGTTCATGTTGGTGATTTTCGTTTTGGATCTGATACTTTGAAGCGACTTTTGCAATTTTAGACTGATCGCGTATGTTTTTTTAATTGTATGTAGCTATTTATTTAAAGATTTTTCGTAGTCTTTGTTGAATTCTCCATTTCTTTTCCTCAAAAGTTTTTTTATTCAGATCTCTGGTTGGGACTTTGTAGAAGACGATGACTTTTTTTTTTGCGGAGTAAATTATAGTTTTTGTTGTTTGTCTCTTATGCTTTTTCATGATTGAGGATTTGTTTTGGGAATTAGATTCTGACGTTAATGAACCTTTGTTTAAGGCATATTTGAAGAGAATTTGATACTTCTCCGATAAGGCTAATGGCTATGGCCATGGTTTTGAATATTTTTTTTTAGTTTCTTCATAAACTAATAATACTAATTAAGGTTTAAATTATATTTAAAGCTATATATTTTTTACAAAATACACTTGATTCAAAGTATGCAATAGATTTAAATTATTTTTTATAGATAATTAAAGCATCTATCGACGAAGACGAAGAGATGGTGGAAGCAAAAAAAGATAATTATGAGGATGACGACAAGTGATAGATTAATATCGTAGAAGTTTGATGGGATCTTTTAAACACCACCGGAAAAGTAGAAGTCGATATATAAATATAGTATAATATTTTTTTATGGGTGTATCTCATGTCTTATTGATGGAGATAAGAAATTGTATGTGACAGTTAAGATGAGCAAAACGCTTTACCTGTAAAAGATTATCTGATAGGATGGAAATTTAAGTTTTTAGTTTCGATGTAGTTTGATTTTATTTATATTGGTTCTATCAGTTTTAGAAATTTTATATAAGTGTGTTTTATTTGAAATTTTAAATAAAAAATATTGTTTTTAAATATTGTCATTTTTTTTTGTTATTTTTGTATTTGATTTGTTTCAATTATATAGTTATATATGTATTCAATTTCGTTTTTGAATTTGAGAAGACCGTATGTGAAACATGATGTCAAGTAATATAATAATAAATGCTCTTTGTGTTTACAAATATATAAGTATATATGTATCTATATAGATGTATCCACATGGTTAAGTGTATGTATTCTATGGACATCATGATCTCAACGAAAGAATTCTACATCGAATTCAGACACACTTCACCATAGAAAAGAAATTGAATCAGGAAGAAGAGAAACAAAATGAAAACCGAAACCCTATTCAATCAAAATCAAAAGGAAAGAACGAGATTTAAAGAAAAGATTAATGGCAACACCGAAAGATAACTCAAAACGAAAGCAAAAACGAAGAAATCATTCATGTTGTCCGATACAGGTTTGTAAAAGGATAGTAATTAGCGGGTGATATATTTTTTTAAAATTTTAATTAGTCAATAATTTGGTAATTAGTTATGTAATCACCAAGTATAAGACTAAGAAATTGTGATCGAGATCTGAAGAATTGAGGACTACGATCTTCAAATCCCGAATAACTTTTAAAATAATTTTAGAAGCTTAATAAGATTTGTCACAAATATTCTCCAAACATTTTGTTTGGTGTAAATAGAGTTATATATATGGGTATAATTTCTTAGTCGGATTGTGTGATTAAAGAATAAGTAAACACATCTATATCTATATCTATATATCTATATGTATATATATGGGTAAGTTTTCTTGATTAATGTAAGTTATTGAAATGTAATCTTTCGACACATCTTATATATTTACGTTTCATGGGAAAATATATGTGTTTATTTTTTAAAATTAAACCATTTGTTATTCCATTTGAGAAAGTTATAATTCAAAGAAATTAATGCACAAAGGGTTATTTCTTACCAATCATAAGTATTTCATATGTATAAAAAAAATCAAGAGTATTTCATATTTTAGTTAGTCCCCAATATTTCATAAAAGAATATATGATATAGCTAATTATACTATATTCATCATAAAATATATTTTTTTCTTAAATAATAAAATCTATTATTTAGACTACATTTAATACGGCCAGATTAATATATTTTCTATATCAAAATTATATATTATAATCCATTAAAATATAAATACAAAATTTATTCACAATCTCTCTTAATTTAATAATATAAATTATAAATTTAAAAATAAAATATATTATATTTTAAAATTAAAATAAATTTATTTAAAATTTATATTAATTTTTAATCCGTGTGATATATACGGATGAACACATTTGTTATATGAATAAAGAAGTTGTGTCAAATCTCTATTTGAAAAAATACATCGTTCCGTTATTTTAACATTTAAAAAAAATCTCATTTTGATTTAATAATATGAAACTTTTTTTATTTAATAGTTGTTTTTTTAATTTTCTTTCTAAAAATATTATTCTAATATTCTATATTTCAAACATTAATTTTAGATTATAAACCAAAAAAAATAGAAAAATATAAATTGTTCACAATACATCTTCGAAAAAATATATCACTATATTATCTTAGACTCTTTAAAAAAAATCTATTTTGATTTTAACATATGAATCATAAATTCAAAGACATAATATATTATATTTAACTTTAAAACTAAAAAAATTTATTTAAAAACTATATATAACTTTAGTCAGTCTATGTTCACAATATAAACATACGGGCTAATAAGTTTGCTATTATAATAGAATTATATATTATAGCCCATACAAATATGAATACAAAATATATTCACAATATATATTCAAAAAAATATATATCATCCTTTTTTTTTACCAATTAATTTATCCACATTTGCTATATCATCTTATTATCTTAAAACTTAAAAAAACTCAATTTAATTTAATAATATAGACCGGTTAAATGTCAGACCCGTGAAGTGGTCATACTTCACTGGTATGACCAGATTTATTGTAATCATAGTCTGTTTCGTAATTGTAATATAATAAAACTGATCATGAGAGTTAATCTAATTGTTGCAGGTCCCTTTTGTGTACGCTTTCAAGGATATTCAACACCGTGCATTAAGGTTGGAAGGAGAGGAAAAAGAGTTTTGGTTTGTTGTAAATGGCGTGCCCATCAGATACTCGATCCAGGAACATGCCATTATCTCCGACTTAAATTTTAACAACTATTCGGAGGACTGGACTAAATGTAAGGGAAGTGAATTTCGGAAAAGAATATTCGGAACTTCAAAAGTTACCATAGAAGCTGCATTAAAGAAGTTGCGCGAAACTCCACATGCAAATGTGGAAGAAAGAAAGAGATTAGCAATAATTGTATTGTTTTAAACAGTGATTTGGTGGACATGGTCGAAAGTCTGGACTTCTGTGAAGGGTTTCCCTGGGTTCATGAGAGTACAAGTTACAAAATTGTGTAAGAATATGTTAGTGTCTATGGGTTTTGGTTTTGAAACAAATACTTATCTTAAAATGCATACTCTAAGTGAAATGAGACGATGACAGATCTGACACATATGAGAAAACTAAATCAAATTTTGAATCGCAGAATCAAAGACATTAGGACGGATCATGAAAAATCAGATAAAACAATTAGGATGATAACAAATTTAATGAAATACATATCGAATTAAATGGAAAAGTCTAACTATGACAGTGCTTAGTTTTAAATTTTTAGGATAAATGTGACCACATCTTAATTTATAAAAAAATATATTGACTTACATGTTAATGAAACAAGTAAAAAAATCACATGATTAGCGTTGTATCTCATAAATTTAGTTGAAAATCTATAAAATTTAAATATTGATGAGATTATAAAAAATAGTATAATACCAATATTTTATTGTGAATGTTTATTAAATTCAATAGATTATTATTACGTTACTAATCTTAATTAAATTTATATTATTGTTTAAAACTATATTTTCTAAACTTTCAATAATCATATTTTTAAACCATCACTCGATTAACAAAAAAATAACTTTTAAATAGAGTCATAAAATTTAATAAAATATTAGTATGAAATTCTATATTCTAATCTTTTGGTTTTATATTATAAATTGGAAAATTTTAATAATAGAAATTATAAATTTAAAAAATATATTATGTTTAAATTTAAAAATAATAATAATTTTTTAAAAAATATGTATATATATTTAGTCCGCGCGATTCGCGCGGGTTAATAACTAGTAAAAATAAAAAAAGGCTTTCCCACCACAAGATACGAATTCGAATTCAATTATGCATTAATTGACTAATTTATTTTGAATTGGTATGAATTCGATTTCAAACGGGTAATTATTTTGATAAACATTAATCAAAATAAAGATGGAACTGGTGGCAGGAGACTTTGTATTATTTTTTTCAATATATAAATAAAAATTATAATATCCGATCCACTTGGCGTGAAGATGAAACGTTACGAAGGGAAAACACATTCTCCGGGCAAAATTGCAAAAATAACCCAACTTGTCGATTTGGACTTCACGGCATGACCCTCTAGGTTTAGGGTTTTAAAAAAAAAATCTAAAATGATAAAAAGACTAATTTGCCCTTAAAATATTGAATACGTGGCAATTCAATGGAAAGTAGGAAACGACAACAACTCTCTGTGTTTCCAAATTTTCAAACAAACAAACACGAACGGACAAACGTCTTCTCCTCTCATCCGGTTTCTTTCTTCAATCGCGCAAATCTCTCGGGTTCTTCTTACAAAATCGTCTTCTGTCGGCACAAATGGCTTCATCTTTGGCTTCTCCTTCGGTTACTGCTTCGGTTTCTACTTCAGAAGATCTACAGGTATGGTACACTCACCGAAAAAATTGATTGCGTCGTTCGTCCTCTCTTTGTCTTTGTGTTTATGTGTTTGTTTCGGGTTTAAACTCCAATAGAGTAATGTTCGAGTCGTTTGGGTTAGAAAAATTAGGGTTTTAGGTGAAAAATAGAGATTTTCAGAAAGATAGTTAATGAAAGTCGAATTTTTTGGTCAGACGGTTATATTACTCGAATTAGTCAGACCCATAAAATGGGTAGACCAATGAAATGGTCAGACCAGTGAAATGGTCAGACCCGTGCAGTGGAGAAACCAGTGAAGTGGTCAGACCCTTGAAATGGTCAGACCCGTGAAGTGGACAGACCAGTGAAGTGGTCAGACCCGTGAAATGGTCAGACCCGTAAAGTGGGCAGACCAGTGAAGTCTGGTTAGACCCGTGAAATGGTCAGACTCGTGAAGTGGGTAGACCAGTGAAGTGGTCAGACCCGTGATGTGGTCAGACGAGCGAAATGGTCAGACCGGTTAAATGTCAGACCCGTGAAGTGGTCATACTTCACTGGTATGACCAGATTTATTGTAATCATAGTCTGTTTCGTAATTGTAATATAATAAAACTGATCATGAGAGTTAATCTAATTGTTGCAGGTCCCTTTTGTGTACGCTTTCAAGGATATTCAACACCGTGCATTAAGGTTGGAAGGAGAGGAAAAAGAGTTTTGGTTTGTTGTAAATGGCGTGCCCATCAGATACTCGATCCAGGAACATGCCATTATCTCCGACTTAAATTTTAACAACTATTCGGAGGACTGGACTAAATGTAAGGGAAGTGAATTTCGGAAAAGAATATTCGGAACTTCAAAAGTTACCATAGAAGCTGCATTAAAGAAGTTGCGCGAAACTCCACATGCAAATGTGGAAGAAAGAAAGAGATTAGCAATAATTGTATTGTTTTAAACAGTGATTTGGTGGACATGGTCGAAAGTCTGGACTTCTGTGAAGGGTTTCCCTGGAGAAGATACACCTTCGTTAAGATTAGCGATCAGATTCGGAAATTGTATAATGAATTGGTTTGTATATTGCAGTTTCTTCCTTTCGAATGCATCGAAAGTTTAGGCGCAAATGGATGGTATATTGATGTTGAAGGTATCGATCCGACTTGTCCTAGGATGTGCAAGAAATGCATCAAACCGGATCTTTTTATACATATGCAAAGGTGTATAAACAGATTGGCGATACCTCAAAGATACATATTAATTTGGTGATTTCTTTTATAGTGTCACCAGTTGGATTGGTCTGACTAATTGAATTGGTCTGACAAATTGAATTGGTCTGACCA